CCTTCATATACTGTATATAAGCCATCAATGCTGTCTCCTGTCTGCCAAATATAATAAAATAAATGAGGAAATTATAATTCGTGACAAAGATTTAGGCAAAGTGATACTTGTTATATATTGTAATCAAATTGAATCCAAAGTTTTAAATATTATGCAAAGTGCAGTACTGAAAATGTTTCAACTATGAAAAAGAATTGCTCAATCTAATGGTATATCGAAACTTAATCAAGGAGCATTGGTAGCTGCTGGGTATATAAAATTTATATATGTTTAATTTCATACTTAAGCAGTACTGACAACAAGTTTTAGATATCTATCAACAAGAAAATATATAATTTTTATACATGTTTTCAATAAACCAAAAGAGTTACGAGGAACAAGCCAGCAGTACCTACATGAAAAAAAAGTTGTAATGATAAATAGTCTCTTATTTAACTATGCAATATGTATTTTTCCTGTCAATGAGACTTTAAGTATATAGCAAAAAATTGTTGAATATGAGCTTCCAAGATTAGATGGAAAACAAATATGAAACAGTCAAAAAAGATATCTTGGTTTTTTATGACAAAAAGGAAAACAAACTTAACTATTTCTTGAGTCTTTATAAAGCATATGTATTCTGGAGGTACAGCAAATTTGCTTATATCAATACAAATTTTCTGGATCATGCAATTGCAGTTAGCTGCCTGAGAGCAATTCACTTTGAAAGTGATCCAGAATTTACTTGCCAAGAAGGGGATTTCAATGGAGGTAACTCCTATATGGCTAAATAAGAAATAAAAATAGAGATGTCAGGTATTTTTATAAAAATGATAAAAAAGTTTGAAATATAAAATATTAAGCTTTTATTTAAATTTTTATACAAGGCAACACTTTTTTTTGCTGGTCAGAACATTAGTTACATGACATAACTATTTTGCCAAAGGAAGTTGTAACTAGTGGTTTATAACAAAACCTAGTAAAAAAAACAGTAACAGTGATTAAAAAATGGAAAGAAGGAACCAAAAAATAAAAACATATGAAGTATCAGCAAGAACAATTGCAACAAAATCTCTCTGCTTTGCTAGCACTGGAAGAATCAATAAAAAAAAACCAAGGCAGTAGCAGTACTGCAGAAAATTTAAATTATACAGATATACTATATATTTTAATTTAGAAGAAAATGGTCATAAATGACAATAAATTATAAATATTAAAAATATAAACTATTAACTAAATATTTATAAATAAAACCTAAAAATGGGAAATAAACATTAAGTAGGGAAAAATGAATAAAAAAAAAAACATGATTAAAAAAATATTGAATTGATGAATGAATATGAATCAAATAAAAATAAATCTGTTTGGATATAGATTGAATTAAATAAAAATTGATCTGATTAGATTCAAATCAGATTTACCTAAAATCTAATCTGATTCATTCAATTTAATCCATTGCAATCCCTAGTTACAAGCAAAAAAATTTTTAACAAAAAACTTGGCATAGCAATCAAGAGATAAAGTAATAAATCTATACCTGAAACTAATCAAATTTCTTATATCATTTATAAATTCTTGAAAAAAAAAATCAAGAAAAAAATTTATAAAATTTTCAATCAAATTATATAACAGTGTAAAGTAAAGGAATTATCTGCTCAATCCTAAAATCAAAGGACTGAAAAAATAATCTTGATATTATAAGGTCAATCACTCTACTTGATGTAGATAGAAAGACCTTTACAAAAATTTTAATAGATAGACTAATCAAGTGTATCAAGAAGAAAAAAATTCTATTAGAATATAACTGAGTCATACTTTTAAGAATCAGTATATAAAACTCAATATATATAATCAGTAGTATTATAAAATATGCTAAAGAAAGCAAATAACAAAAATGGATCCTTAATCAAGATATATCAAAAGTCTATAACTCAATTAATATTAAAATACTGATTCTAGTTTTTAAAAAAATAAAGATTTCAGATTAAATAATTTATATTTTAATCAATATCTTTATATCAGATAAAATCCAATAATTATTTATTATAGCTCAATAAAAAAATATGATATATAAGATAGAATTAATCAAAGAAATATAATATTTCTTATCTTGTGATAAATTTTATATGATCCACTTCTAACTATGGTTATAAAAATACATAAAGGCTATACAATAAGTTCAAAATAATATAAAAACTAAAAAGTAGAATAGAATAGCAAGACAACTAATATTGTTATCAATGTATATATGAATGACACAATCTGAATCATCAGTAACCAAAAAGATTTGCAATAAATAATAAATATAGTACAATAATTTTATTATATCAATAATATTCAAGTAAATTTATCAAAGTTACAGTTACTAATCCTAAATTAGAAAAGATATAAACTTTAAATAAAATGTTATTATGAAAGAGCTCAGAATAGAAGAATACAAATTAAGCATATCAATAAGAATCATAGGTATATGATATATAGTTTTAGATATAAAAGGTATCAAAAAAATCTTATAGAACAAAAGATAAGTAAAGTCTGAATCCTAATAAAAATGAAAAATTTATAGATAAATAGATATAGTATACAATTAACTATATCCTTATATTAAACATAAAGTACTTGTGCAATGACATAATTCTATTTAGAGAAACTTGTAATTAGATTATAAGCAGATGCTTTAGTTAAAGATACTCTTAAACTTTTTGTAATAGAATAGAAAAATATTATCTTATATAAGATCTCTATCAAAATAAAGTGTCAAAACAAAATATTAGATAACTTCATAAGACAATTTATTAAGAAAGTAAAAAATAAGATCACAGTATATTAATAAATAGTACAAAATGGAATTGAAAAGAGATAGAAATATCAAATCAAGAATAACAAAATTATATATAGAATCTAATATAGGAAAAAATAAATAAATACATATAAGATATATTTTTAAAAGACCTATAAAAAGTTTTTTTATTAAGTTAATAAATAATAAGTTATCCATATCAAATAAACTAATAATTAGAAAGTTAAATTTATATAAGTAAGTAAAATATATTGTATATAATTTCAATAAAGAAAAAACAAATAATCACTTATTAAAATGTCCAGTTTATAAGAAGCAGATGAAAGTAATATAGAACAAAGGTTTAAAGAAAGTTCTTAAGAACTTTAGTAAACTCTTGTAAAAAAGAAAAAAGAAAGTTATAGAAAAGAATATAAGACTAATAGTAAATAATAAAGAAGAAATGTAAAAAGTTGACAAGTGAACTTCAAACTAGCGAAACAAATTTCAATAATAAATCAGAATATATTAAGTTTTATATATAACTATTAAGAAATAAACTAATTCTTGAATTGACAGATCTAAAATACTATAATAAAATAGTTGAAAAAAAAGTGAGAAAATAAATAAAGAAGATATAAAATATAGTATATAATCAATTTTATAAAAAAGTCTAAAATGTAAGATGTAAAAAAATAATATTATAAAAAAGAATACAAGGAATATAGAAAAATAATAAGATAAAAATATTTCTTGGCTTTTAATATTATAAAACTATATTATTAGAAAAAAGAATTCTATTACTAGAGAAAGAAAGGTTAAAAAATCAAGATCTAAAAGATATCCTATCAAAAGAAATTAGATTTGAGAAAAAATAATTGGGTTTTAAGTTCTATTAGAACTTAAAAAATGATCTGTAATAGTGATTTACAAATAATGATATTAGAAGTTGAAGAAATTTTTATCTAAACTCTTAATAGAGCAACAAAAGTTATACTTAGAATAATAATTATAAAAATGAGTAAGCTAGTTAGAGTTTTTAGCTTTAGTAATTCATATTATAATATATAGTCTACAATTATTTAATAAAATGCATATATCTAGCCTAATAAGGGATTTTAAAAATATAAAAAATAAAAAATAAAAAATAATTAATTAATTAATTAATAATAAAATCTAAATAAAAAGTTATCAATATATTTAAAAAATAAAGAATATTAAATTAAAAAAAAGTATATAAATGGATAAAATTTAGAATTAATTGAGATGTTAAAAGAAAAAAATATAAAATTTAGACAAAATTTGATAGAATAAAATCAATTGATACAAGTTTTAAAAAAGTTAAGCTAAAATCTAAATAAAAAAAGAAAAGCAAATAAAAGAAAAAAAAAAAAGAGGAAAAGAGAAAAAAAAAAGAAACCAAATAGTTTAGTCAATTGATTATATAAATTTATAATAAATTTTTTAATTTTTTAAATATTTGTCAAATTTTAATATCATTTTATTATAAATTTTAAAATTAATTAAATGATTTTTTTATTATTATAATATTATTATACTAAATTTGTAATTTTTTATCAAATTTTTTATCACAATATATAAATTTTTTGTTATAGTATACTGAATTTGTACTGATTTATTGTCAAATTTGATTTGCTGATTTCTTGTTTAAATATTATCAATATTTTATATGTTGAGTGGCAGCAATTGAAAAGGATTTATCAATGTTTTTATTAGTAAATTTAATCAAATTCACCATAATTTACCTAGTGATTGTAAATAATTTTTTTGTTTCAATAAAGACATGCTATGATAATATGATTTTAGGTTAAAAAAATAAATAATAATGTTTGTTTCTATAAATATATTGTATAAAGACCTACAGCAAATAATCTCACAAGAAGAGCTTTACATGATCCTACAAACACTCCCTAATAACAAAGATCCAGGAAAACAACAGATTTATTCTGAAATTGATTTTATTTTAATTTCAAATAAATTTATTATAAATAATATGCGATATATTTAAATATATAATAAGGTCAGTGAAAGCAAATATTTTTTTTTAAAAAAAATGGAAATTTCCTTTTGAATTTTTTTAAAAAGAATATTAATTGCAACTTATTTAATTTATCAACAATTCACTTAGAAGTTCAAAATAAAGTTTCTTAATCAAAATACCGTAAATTATATTTAATAATGTACAATACTACAATCAATAAACCAAAAGCTAATTCTTTAATTACTGTCGTAAAAAATGCATTTTCATGTGTTTATTTGGATCATCAATAATATACCAGCCGATCACAGGAGAGACTACATACTCGCCGTTAATTTGATCCTGCCTAGCACCTAGGAATCCAGCGCCAAATTGCAAATCATAGTCTATATTTTCTATCTTCAATTTAAATGGAACGTGAATCAACCCTTGAGGTAAACTAGAGGGAACAACTGCTTTTGAGTAGGACGGAAACAATGCAGCAATCCATCCATCCCATGCATCTGTCAGAGATCCAGAACCGTAAGGAACTTGAGTCATAACCATGCTCCAAAATTTTTCGTCGACATTTCCTCTATATGTGGCGACGAATTGAGCAATTACTGGTTCTAATTTTTCCAACCAAAAATTAAGATCCAATCCTAAATCATGGAGTTTTCTGACTTTTTCTTGAAGATGCAACCAGTCTTCCAAGGTACCATCAAGGGTAACTTTTGGAATACCACAACCAACACGTAAGCTGTATCTAAAATACTTTTTCATCGCTTCTAACAAGACGATTCGACTTGAAGTAACGGATGCGTTGGTTGTAGTAGAAAAATCACATTCAAAAAATCTCTTCAAGTCAACTTTTTTAACCTGTTCGTCAACGGAACTTGAAAGACGTTCAATCGCTTGTGCCCAATCACCAAAGAAATTTCCGTCCATAACTCCTATAATGTCTTGTGCATCGATTAAAACATCTTTTTGGCCTGCATGGTCAACGAAAAGGTAACGATATCTTTCAGCGCTTCCAAGAATATGCCGACTAACTCCTTGTGTAATCGTTAGCCACACATCATCTGGCGAGAATTGAAGGTGTTGATGAAGGGTGTAAGCATGAAGAATTGCCGAGGCTAACCCATGTGAAGTGGCAGGCAATTTAATTATACTAGTCGGATTGGGATCTGAACTTGCCGCATAATCGAGGGAGATGGCATGCAATTTCCCGTATCTTGGATTGTAATAGGACCTTATGTCCTCATGTTGGAGAAATTCATCTTTTTGTTTAATAGTTTCAGTTATTTTCTGAGTGCTTCGTGAGGAAATCATGTTTAAGGATTGTAAACTATTATAAAGACGTATTTATTGATGAAATAATCCGGAGTTTCAATCCGGGATATCCTTAAAAATGCGTATACATTAACAGGATTCATAATGAGCTATTCCCGCAGTAATATTTAACATAATAAGTACAAGAAAAACTATTTTTCTACAACCGTTTTTTAATGTGCCTATCTCAAGTTCTTTATTTTACAAAAAATTCAATCTGCACACATTTTTAGACTACTGTATCCAAAATTAGACTGTATATCCCAGCCGACTTCCCTTATAGTCGTCAGCCATATATCAAAAATTGACTATAGTAAATGGATGATTATTTTTGAAAGCAACCATAATACTAAATATAATTTTTTCGATCTCTATTTTTAATAATACGTACAGTACATAATTATATGTTTAAAGTTTTAATATAAATTATGCGTGCTATTTCCAATTTCGGCCGAAATTAGAAATTATAATATTGGTGGTAGTAATTTGACCAGAATCAATATTAAAAAAAGATATCAATTACGGTATTTCTAATTTCGGCCTGGATTAAACCTAGTTTGAGCCGAAATTTGAAGCTGCGTTATTGGTATTAATTAACTTGACCGAATTAAAAAAAATATTTTAGTTATGCGCATTATTTCGAACTTCGGCTTTAATTGATCTTAATTCAAACCGAAATTAAAATTACACCGTAAGTTTGTTATAATTGATACAAATGATAAAATAATTTTTTATTATAGTTTTATTTATTATCCTTAGGAATTTTAAGTTGTGTAACTACAACTAGTACTATTAATGTGATAAAAATTTGAAAAAAAAAAAGTTTGATAAATATATAATTCTAAGTAAATATAATTGAAAATACTATATTATTGTCTTTATTGAAATATTAAATAAACCATTTTAATATGATATTGACTTTTATACAATAAATTTTATTATTATATATCATTAGTTTAAGGACTATATTATTAAAAAAAAAAAAGTAAAAAGTTTATTAAGCTAGTTTAAATTAAAAAAATCCAATCCTCGATTAGATATTTCAAGTCAAATTTTGAGAAAAATATTTTTTTATTTAATAATTTTAAATTCTTTCTTTTTTTTATTGGTTTATAATCATATTATAATAGTTTGTCTTTATTAAAAAATTAAAATAAAATTTATAATAATTTATAAACTTTCACAAAATAACTAATTTGTTATCAAACATAAATATTCCAAGAGATTTTGAAAACAATTTTTATTCTCTTGATATCATTGAATTAATATTTATTTATCAAAATCATTATCAATAGTTTGTCATTATTTATTGATCTAAAAATTAATTAATTATTAAGTCAGAAAGAAAGAGATATATAAATAAAGGAAAAGAATCAATTCAAGATCTTATCAAAAAATACAAAAGTACAACTATTCTATTTCAAAAGATTTAACTAATTGAAATAATTTTCTTACTTTACTTGAATCTCAAAAAATTTTTTCTTTTTCACTATTTATAATATTAAGCATATCAATTTAATTGGTTTTTTATTTAAGTAAATACTAGATTGAAATATATCATCTAAAAAAAAAAAGCATTTAAATCTTAGTTTTTATATATTAAATCTTTTTTATTATCTAAAAAACTTAGATAAAAAATAAAAGTTCATAATCTATTATATATAGTATATCTAAAGATGAGTTTCTAAAGGAAAAGATAAAAACAAATATCAGATATTTTTTATTAGAAAATATTAAATTTTTAAATTATAATTATAAAAAAATTATTTGAAATAGTTTTTTATTATTAAAACCTTTGATTTATAATATTTTTTGGATTTTGTCTCTACTAAAAAGAAAAGCTATAAATTTTGTTTTTCAAAAAGAAACATAATTAATCTGTAAAATTTTATATACTAAATACTTTAAGAAATCATTCTTATCTATATCTTGATCTTTTGATATCATAAAAGTCTTTATTAAAAAATTTGAGTTTCTAAAAGGCAAATATTCCTAAAACATTTTTTTTAATTATCAATAATATTATCAGAACATATACTGTTGCTTCTAAAAGTTTGAATTCACTTACTATGTTTTTATTATAAATTTCAACTTTGACAATTTTTAAATTCTTAATTATACAATTAAAAATTATAAAAATTAGATATATCATATCTTAATACTAGTTTTATTATTGTTTTTTTTTTTCAAAAAAATTTTATATATAATTTTTTAAAGTTTTATTATTATTAAAAATTTTCTTTTTTTGTCAAATTTTTAATTTTGAAGAATATTGATTGGCTATTATTGTACATCATATAATAATTAATAAAAAAATAAAATATTTAACAATAATAAAACTTTAAAATATATATCTATAGATTTATAGCACAGTGATAATGTTTTCAAGTTGCAATTACAAGGTTCAAAGTTCAATACTATATAAGAACCATGTAAGAAAAATAATCAGATTGCATGAAAATAGGACTTCTGGCTTTCCTGCTAATTGTCAAGCTGAAAAGAATTTACTATAAGGATTGCATAAAAAAAGACCTTTGATCTGGTTACAAAATTTTCACCTGACCTAACTCCTCCTAAACTGGATAGGAAAACAAACTCCAGGATTCCGCTTTTAGAACTTTGATAATTATCTGAATATAACACTAATTTCAAACTATACTAGTAGACTCTGGGACCCTGCTTATAGGACTGCAATGATTATTTGAACATTCCATATTTCAAACTGTATTAGTAGACTTTGGAACCTGACTATTCTAGCTTGGAATATCTCAATTCGATACTTGCTTAAATGAAGGACCTGTCAAGCAGGATTTGACTGTAATGTTACAGATAGTAACAAAAATGATAGAAATTCCCTCTGAGGTTTAAGTAAAAGTATCAGGATATCTGGATAATTAAATAATTCTTAAGAATTTGTCATTAGTGTATAAGTTAGTATAGCAATGTAGTCTATTATTAACAAAATTAACTAACTATATCAAGCATTGCTGTCGATAACTATTACTAATTATTTGCCTCTAAACAGGTATACCCTCTCACTTAAAAAGTTTCAAGCAAATCTACCTAGAACAAGTTATAGTAGATTATTATTATATATATGAAATAATTGATGTTACACTAAAGATTTAATTATCAATAAAGAACCTATATTTAATATCAATCATAATTTAAAAATAAAAATAAAATAAATAAATAAATAAAACTTTAGAATGTATTAATAAAAATTTTTTTAAAAAAATATATGAAATAGAATATATATTAAGATATAATATACTGTATATAAATTTTATAATTTTTTATTATATAATTAATGATTTAAAAATTGACAAAGTTGAATTTTATAATAAAAACATAGTAAGTAAACCCAAACTTTTGGAAGCAACCATAAATATAATTAATAAAAGTTTAATTATATTTTAAAAACTAATATATTTTATGTTAGTTAATTATCTTTAATAAAAATTTATATTATTCAAAATTCAGAATAAAACTAAAATAAATAAAATTTCATAAAGCTATAAAAATAAAAGTTCAAAAAGGACTAAGACAATCAAAAAAAAATATAAGTCTTTTTATTAAATACATGCTTGCTTACATATAGTATATAATTATAAATTTTAATAACAAATTATTATTGAATTAAATAAAATATTTAAAAATATTAATAATTCAAAAAGTAATATAAGAGATATAATATTAGACATACTAAATTATATAGATACTTTAGTCCTGATAATAATATGATTATATAATATAAATTTGTTTTAATTTCAATATGAAAGTATATATTAGAATAATTAAGAATAATAAAAATATTATATATAATAAAGAATGTTATTATTTTATAATATATATTTATTATATAAAATTAACTTTTCTAAAAAGAAAAGAATTAAAATATATAAGACCCATAGGTAAATAGCACAATGGTAGTACTCATAAGTTGCAATTATAAGGTTTATAGTTCAATATTACTTAAGGACCAAAAATTGAAATTATCCTTTTGATTAGATTTACTGATTATCCTATAAAAGTCATATCCAATCATTTAAATTCTGCCTAAATTTAGTTAAGCTGTATGAAGATGGAACCTTTAGTCTTTTGAAACATCACAAGCTAAAATCAGATCAAAGTAGAAAAGGTTATATGAGGAAAGGCTTCTGGTCTAACTCCCATAAAAGCCCACAACCCTCTGACACAGTAGACTCTATAGCATAAACCACTTTTCTAACTCAAGATATTCCAATTTGATACCTCACTTAAATAAAAAACCAGTCAAATAAAGCTGATCTGATTTTTACAAATAGTGACAAAGAAGATAATGTGCTCCTTTCCAAGATTTGAGTAAATAATATCTCTAGAAATATTGAAGTATAAAATTAATCTTGTCAGGTACATACTATATAGCCTAATTTAGCAAATAAATAATACAAAAAATTTATAAAGCTCACTGCTAGATTAGTCTGTTTTGCTATTTATGACTGTGTATTTGACCATCTGACCTCTAGTTGAGTCTGCATACTTTCTGAGTAGTAGTAGGTTCATATAGAAAAATTGCGATAGGTTATCATTAATCTGTATATATATAGAAATATATAGTTTGTATAAGATGATTGATGTCAATACCATAGAATTTGATTATCCGAGATATTAAGTTAATTCTTAATAAAAGTACTTATATCTAATACCAATTGTGATTTAATAAAAAAAAAAGAATTAAATATAGAATCAAGTTTATATAAATTTGATAATTCTTTTAATATTTTTAAAAATAATATTAATTATTCAATTATTGTTAATAAATTAAATATCTTTATATATTGTAAAAATATATTAAAAAAAAATAGTATATAATTTATTTTATTAATAAGAAAAAAAAAATTCTTTTTGCAAATTTTTCAGATTTTTAAAAATTTTCTTTTTAGACAAATCATCCAAAAAAAGATATAACATCCATAAAATAAGATACTGTATATACTTTTACAATACTAGTATACAAT